CCTGCGGTTGCAGGGAAAAGTGCCGGGTGTGGTGGAGCTGGAGGGGAATGTGGAGCGGACAAGGGAGTCACGGAGAGAGTGGTCCCCCCGGAAAGCAGATAAGGGTGGGGAGGGAAAGATGTCTTTGGTGGTGGGGTCGGATTGCAGATGGCGGAAGTGTCGGAGGATGATGCGTTGGATCCGGAGGTTGGTGGGGTGGCACGTGAGGACAAGGGGGATTCTTTTTTGGTTCTCTCCCCTCCCCCTACCGCATCCCAAAACCAGTCCAGCTCGTCCCTGCCTCCCTAACTTGTTCTTCCTCCCACCTATCCCCTCCTCCCACCTCAAGCCGCACCTCCATCTCCTACTGACCAACCTCACCCCGCCCCCTTGACCTGTCCGTCCTCCCTGGACTGACCTATCCCCTTCCTAACTCCCCACCTACACTCACCTTTACTGGCTCCATCCCCGCCTCTTCGACCTGTTTGTTTCCTCTCCACCTATCCTCTCCTCTATCCATCTTCTATCCGCCTCCCACTCTCTCCCTATTTATTTCAGAACCCCCTTCCCCTCCCCCTTTTCTGATGAAGGGTCTAGGCCCGAAACGTCAGCCTCTCTGCTCCTATGATGCTGCTTGGCCTGCTGTGTTCATCCAGCCCTGCACCTTGTTGTCTCTTCCTGCAATGGGTTCTCTTTCTGCATCATTATCACTGGCATCTCCCGAGGATCAATCCTGCACTCTCTTCTATTTCTGATTTGCATGTTCTTTCTGTGAAAACATTCAAAAAATGCATAAGTTTTTTACATATATGCTGGTGATATAAACCTCTATACAATACCACCTCTTCCAACGCCTCTACTGCCTCTGAATTGTCAAATTGAGTTTGAGTAAAAAAGATGTGAATTCCTTTTTATGATGTCTCATAACCTAATCTCACCCCACTTTGATCTAGAAAGGTCTCTTGCACTTAGCAGGAATTCCCTCCTGAAGATGCAAAATGTGGATTAATTTTACAATGCCAGCCAGAAGCAGCAGCTAGGCTCCCAAAGTATGCACAAACACGGTGACTCAATTAAGAAATAGGAGACATACAAACAATGCACAGGATAACTTAATTAAGAAATTGGGAAGGCTACTGTCAGCAGTTCACCACTGTAAACCTTTTAGGCAGAATACACACAGTCCTAACCTCCTCCTTTGCTTTTATGATTTTACTATCCTAGTCTAAAATAAGATAATTGAAGTCCCCTATTATCAATACACTGGAGCTCCTGCAACTTTCTGCAAATGTACCTGCAAATTTAATCCATTACCTTTTGTAAATGTCATTTGTACTAATATACTAATCCCCATCATCATTATTTCTAATCAAATAGATTTGGTCTTTGGATCTTCAACTATCTCGTCCCTTTCCAGGGCTATAATAGGTTCTTTGATTAATATTATCTTCTCTCCACATTTTCTAATTTTCTTGAACCACATTATAATTGGAATATTAAATTCCAATCTGCCCCTCATTGTATCAGGTCTCTTTTTATTGCCAGTATAACAGTCCTAAGTGGCAGTTGGTACCTCAGCTCACCAATCTTCATTTACCTATGATGATTTAAATCCTTTAGTAGAGGTTCATTCAGAGTAGAAAAAAATCCTGATCAAATGTGGAATATTCAACAAAATGTTCCCTAACCTAATGAAGGATTAACTTAAAAGCTTAAACAAACATCCTTTGAAATGTTGATTGACCTGCTCTCTAATACCTTAAACGGTTCCTTGTATAAATCTAAAGCATTTCATTACGCGCCTTGAAAATAAGTATTTATCTTCTAAATTTCCAGATTAAACTAGTTATTAACCAGTTATTAAACTAGCTTTTTATTTGCCAATGAATGCTGAATGTTGCGCAGTAGTAGTGTCAGGAGACCTCGGTTCAAGCACTATCTGCTCCAGACTTGCATAATAACATCTCTGAACAGGTTGATTTGAATGCTGAGTGGTTGTTAGAAAAAGATGTTGTACTGCCATCTACTGGTTCGGAAAGTTGACAGCAAACACATTACACTTCGGAGAAAGAGGCAGTAGGAACTGCTGATGCTGGAGAATCTGAGATAACAAGGTGTAGAGCTGGATGAACACGCAGGCCAAGCAGCATCAGAGGAGCAGGAAAGCCGACGTTTCAGGGCTGGACCCTTCTTCAGAAATGAGGGAGGGGAAGGGGATTCTGAAATCAAGATGTCTTACTACAATTGTTTTTTTAAAAAACCCAACCTCATCATTTATCTAACCCTCAAAAACTTATTACACAAATTCTCTACAGTGTGGAAGCAAGCCATTCAGCACACAGACCCTCCTAAGAGCATCTCACCCAGACACACCCACGTACCCTATTCCCTGTAATTCCCGTGGCTATTCCACCTAAACCTCACATCCCTGATCACTGTGGGCAATTTAGCATGTCCAATCCACCTAACCTGCACATCTTTAGACTGTGGGAGAAAATTGGAGCACCTGGAGGAAACCAACGCAGACAGGGGGAGAACGTGCAAACTCCTCACACACAGTGGGTGGAATCGAACCCAGGTCCCCGCCACTGTGAGGCAGCAGTGCTAACCATTGAGCCACTGTGCTGCCCATGGTACATACTACAGGGTGATATCATTTGTCATAAATTATTTATATAGAAACAAATACGGCAGAAGACTGACAGCTAGAACATTTTTTGGACTCATTTTTGTGCCAATTCAAGGTGACAAAATATAATACCATATCATATCATAAATATTATAAACAGGTAGGATACAGTGTTACCAGGGCTCAACTAATGTTGATAAGTGGACCTGGATTCTGGAGATGCCTTTGAAATTCAGCATGAACCTTTAAAAGTGAACTCTGCACTCTGGCTGCAAGCAACTTGTATTCAGTTTTCAGAATGGGCAGATAGGAGACAACTAAATAGTTTTAACAGCTGCATTTGAGGTGTTGTCGGAGGTGTAAGACAGGAAAGCTGACTTTGTCTTCCCACAGGAAGGCAGCAGCATCTTGAAACAAGCCATTCATCTGAAGATGACAAAGATTTGCTGAGCAAGTCAGCATCGGGAGATCACCCAAAAGACAATGTTCCTATTAAACTGAGTAAGACCTTGTTGCGATGGACAGTGCATGTGACTGTGCAGTAAAATTTAAAGGGGCCATGGATAGCAAAAAAAAAACTGGTTGCACAAAACAAATACATTGTAAAGATTACATTGCTCAATATCACAAGAGGCTTAATGACATGAAAGGGGTTACTGAAGAAAGACTCCTAACACAAATTCTGGTTTATTCTTTATTTAACCCTACATGCCTGTAACAATCCTTTCCTACCAGATTTCCTCCTGTAATTGCAGCGTATTGCACTCCACCTTTTTCTCCTCCTAAACTCTCACTCCAAACTTGTAATAATAAAACAAAAATACTAAAGACGCTGTAAATCTGAGACAAAAACCAGAAAGTGCTGGAAAAAACTCAGCAGCTCCAATAGCAGCTGTGGAGAGACAGCAATAGAGTTAATATTTCTGGTTCAATGTCTCTTCCAAAGTTAACTCCGTCTCTACATTGACACTGTCAGACCTGAGCTTTGCCAGTACTTTGTTTTTGTCTCTGCAATTGTTACTCTTCTGTTACTTTCCTGATTTTCTCACTCCGTCAATCTCCACACTCCAGGATCATTGTCCCATGACATGCGTAAACTCAAAGCCTGTCACTCTGCTGCCATTAACATTTCCCTTCTTTCTTGCAGAAAAAGCTAGCATGTAATCAGAAAGGAGATAGAGACAGAAGAAGGGAAAGCCATCATCAACATCCTCACTCCACTCGAAGTGGTGGTCATGGAGACTGGGGGATCAATCATGTCAGGTAGATGGCGAGGCTAAAAAGTGCATATTATAGAATTCTTGACCATTTCACCCTCCTTTTCTATTCAATGAAGTACGATGACATATTGTGTATGATGTAATGCAGCTGTTCTCAACAGCTACTCATCTACGTCTACTTCAAACTCTGTTCCTTTTGATGTGAACTAAGAGCCCCCAGTGATTCAGCAATTGGGAGAGTACATCACCTGCGTAAACAATGTCATAATCATATCTGAGCAAGCGTCAGGGACTTTGGTTGGTCTCATAGTTGTGCACAATTCAACTTCAATTAGCAGAACTGCCACTAAATTTAAAGCAGCAATTACTTTCATACTAATGAAACATATTTTTAAAAAAAGATTAACTGATCACTTTTGAGAATTTCCATTAGTTGTATGTTTTTGCAGGCTTTCAAGTGGGGTTGCAAAATTTAAGTTTTTTTTTGGGCAAAAGTATACTAATAAGCTATGTTTTAACAAATTCTAAAGTATTTGACTTTAAATTCACAAAGAAACTGACTATTGTATGCAATTTTACTAGCACTTGTTTTTTTTAAAAGCTATCTTTAGTAATTTAAAACAAAGTTACGCTCACAGGTGGTGGATTGACACTGGGATGAATTTACTTATTTTCTGTGATGATCTCATTCAGATTTGATCACCCCATTTTGCATACTGGGGCTACTGATATTGTCTGGATTAAATCCTTCAATCCAACACAGAAGAGCAAAGGTTTTGACCCACGGTTTGTTCACCATCTTTATGCCTTTTTCATTGTCTAAGGAAATCTTTTGGCTGATTATATTCCTATGAACCTTGCAAGATTTTGCATTGAAGATGCTAAATAAATTCAAGTCATAAGTCATAAGTTTACATAGATATGAAAGGTAGCAAAGTTTTTGTTTACTGTATAAATTAACTCAACTTAATAGTAAACACACCATCTGTCAAGAGGTCAATGAATGAAATTACATCATGCTGTCCTCACCCACAATCACAAACTTCTGCTAACTCAAACCCTTTAAAGATCACCTCCATAATTCAAAAATAACAATGAGACAAATAAAAGAAAACATTCTCTTGTGAAATAAAGCAAGTTATACAGTAGATTTGGGCTAACCTTTCATGTTTTAACAGCTAATTATACTAAGCATTAAACAAATTTAATCACATAATCTAAGACCATCACAAACAGGTGGAATCAAACCAATGTGACTTAATTTCACTAACACACACCTTCTAGTCACTAAGTCAACAAAATCCAATAAGAAGGGGAGAAAATGGTTTTCTATTTAAAATATTAAATAGGATAACCAAAAACCATGAAATACACGATAATTGTATTAGCTCACCCTCCAAATTTGGTGTAAAGTGATACTGTATACATCCCAGGTTGGCTGGAATCTCTCACGATAAAACCTCCCTCTTTATCCTGCAAAGTAAATTAAAACTATGACATTTGCAAAATAATATTCAACCAAAATAATTTTTAAAATCATAGTTAGTGGTTGGTTTACCAAAAAAAAACTTGCCCCAGGTTGGAACGCCAAAGAGAAAGTAAACCAAACCTAAGGCTTTATTTCGAGAGGGATAGAATTGAGACCATAATCTTGGTAAAACCAAAAGTACTTCACTTCTGCCAGACCAGGTAAGGATGGAAGATTGCCTCCCCTAAAGGACATTAGTGAAGCAGATAGATTTTTAATGATCATCAACAATGGTAACAGGGCTGCTATTAAATTAGCTTTTAATTGCAAATTTCTTTTACTGAATTCAAATTTCATCATCTGCCATAGTGGGATTCAAACATCTGTCTCCAGAATCATAGAACCATAGAATCATTGAATCCCTACAACGCAGGTAGAGGTCGTTCAGCCCGAGTGTACATCAACCCTCTGAAAAACATACCAACCAGACCCACCCCAAGAATGTGCAATCTCTACACAGTCATCTGGGTTAGTAGATCACTAGACAAATGACATTACCACTACGTCATTACCTCCCCCAAGTCCACTGAAACTATTTCACTACTTAATAAAATTATGGTTGAACATCTACATCAATTCCACTTTCCTGCACTATTCCTACAACCCTTTGCACCTGACAAACTATCAATGGCAGTCTTGAAAACACTTTCAACTGCAAATCTGTGGTGTGCAATCCTAAGGATTCACAACATATGTGCAGAAATTTTTCACCAGTCCTAAATGGCCGACAATTTTTCCTGGGATCACAACTCTTACTTCTAGAAACCCTAGCCATGAAAACACCCTCTCAGCATTTATCCTGTAGATAACTCTTCAAGGCTTGGCATTTCAATATGATCATCTTTCTTCTGAAGTTCAGAGAATATAAATGCATTCTACTGAATTTCTCCTTCTAGACCAGCCCTCTCATCACAAAAATTAACCTTGTGAAAATTCATTGTAAACCCCTGGAGACAAATATATCATTCCATAGGTCAGAAGGTCAGAACTGTACACAGTACCTTAATCTACCAAGGCATGGTACGGTCTCAGCAAAGCCCTTTACGATTGCAACAAGACTTCTACACTCTATACTCCAACCTTTGAAATAATGGCCCGCATACCACTTGCCTTCACAACATGTTAACTTTGTAATGGGCATACAAGAATCCCCATATTCCTGTGAAGATCAATAACTACTAATTGCACATCTTCCAGAACATATTCAGCTTTTCCTTTCTTCCTACCCAAGTGGATAATTTCAGATTACCCCACATTATACAACATCTATCACCAATTTTCTTAATCACATAACCTGCCGATATCTCTTTCCATCCTCACAGCTTACTTTATCACCTATTATTGTATCATCAGCAAATCTGGATATATTACAGTCTCCTCATTCAAGTCATTGACATACAGTGTGAATAGCTGAGGCTAAAATAATGATCCTTGCAGCATCTTTCTAGTCAAACCTGCCAGCTCAAATTTGATCTGTTTATTCCTACTGTTTTTCTGTCAATTATCTAATCCTTATTCATGCTTTCATATTACCCCCAATCCTGTGAATCATGAACTTGTGTAAATGCCATTTGTGTTTATTAAACAGTTGCTGAAAATCCAATTACACTGTAATCTTTCAGTTCTCCTTTATCTACCTCCCACTCATACCTTCACAAAAATAGATTTGTTAAACATAATTACTCTTTCATAACACTATGTTCATCCTATCTATTCATGCTGAGATTTCTCAGTTGCTCTGTTAGCATGTTAATACTGGGTTCCTATTTCTACTATAACTGATGACAGGCTAAATGCTTTCCATTTGCTATAACTGCCAATACAGATTTAATAACAAATAGAAATTTGCACAGTTTTATTAATTTGTCAGATTTATAAGATAGTGTATTATTTTGATATGTGATGATAATGAAATCAGGTATTGCAGATATTTTGTGTTTCACCCCTATGCCAAGATGGACAATTGATTTTCAGATCAGGATCACCACTTTTGTTTCTTCTTGCTTTGCTCTGCTAAGGTACAGTTCACAATCGTTCAGGTCCTATCACAAACGTTCATGATCCACTTTACAGACAGAGTAGGTGAGATGAGTCAGTGAGACAACCACTGCATGGGTCAGTGGGATCCCACCTTGATCAACCTGCACCAACTTCACTTTCATTACACTGTGAGGTGTGACACCCTTTCCCTTGCGCCTGTGTTAGATCCAGTGCTGGCAAAAGTCGGGTATGGGCCCGATGCTCCAATTCATTCATTTGATTCAACAGATGAGCTATTAGAGAGTTGTGGGAGTGGATAGTCCAGTGGTATTAATCACTATATTATTAATTTATATACCCAAGTAATGCTCTGGAGACCTGGGTTCAAATTCCACCTTGGCAGATGGTGGAATTTGAATTCAATTTTTTAAAAACTGGAATTAAGAGTCTGATGATGATTAAAATAGTCAATTGTCAGAAAATAAAACCAGATTGACCACATCGACCTAGGCACCAGAAACGTCAATGGCAAAACTGTTCCTGTCAACACTTCAGTGACATCTTGGGGCTTGAGACAATATTGGGAGAACTGTCTTAGACTAGTCAAGCAACAGGCTACAATAGTGATACTTTCAAAATCATACCTTACTCGACAATATTCCAGTCACCACCATCACCATCCCTGGATATGTTTTGTCACTGCAGCAGGACAGATCCAGCAGAGGTAGTGGCACAGTGGTGTACAGTCAGGTGGGAGTTGCCTTTCGAGTCCTCAATATTGACTCTGGACACCATGAAGAATTGTGGCATCAATTCAAACATGGTCAAGGAAATTGCCTCCATTTACCATATATTGCCCACCCTATACCACCCCCATTTCCAACCAAAAAGAAACTGTTGATAAATCAATACACCTTCATGTTGAAAAACACTTGGAGGAAGCACAGGGTGGCAAAGGTGCAGAATACATTCTAGATGGGGGATTTCAATGCTCAGCACCAAAGTGGTTCGGCAGCACCATTACTGATTGAGCTGGTCAAGCCCTAAAGGACATTACTGCTAGACTAGGGCTATGGCAGATAGTGAGAGAACCAACAGAGGGTAAAACACACAACTTTATCCTCACCAATCTGCCTGCCACAGATGCATTTTTCCATGACAGTATCAGTAAGAGTGACCACACCACAGTTCTTGAGGAGGCAAAGTTGCACCTTCACAATGAGAACATCTTACGTCATGTTCTGTGGCACTGTCACTGTACTAAATTGGACAGACTTTGAACAAAATTAGCTACTCAAGACTGGGCATCCATGAGCTGCTGAGCCATCAACAGCAGCAGAATTGTACTCCCAATGCGATCTGCAACCTCATGGTCTGGCATATCCTCCACTCTATCATTACCATCAAGCCAGGGGGTCAACATTGGTTCGATAAAGAGTACAAGAGGGCAAGCCAGCAGCAGCACCGCAAATACCTAAAAACAATGTGTCAACCCGGTGAAGCCACAAAACAGGACCACTTGTATGCCAATCAGCATAACCAGCAATTGATAAACAGAGCTAAGCAATCCCATGACCAATGCTCCACAGTCCTGCCATATCCAGTGATGAATGGTGGTGGACAATTAAACTACTCACTGGAGGAGCAGGCTCGACAAATATCCTATTCTCAACAATGGGGGAGCCCAGCACATCAGTGCAAAAGGATTGGCTGAGGTATTTGTGATAATCTTCACCCAGACAGCTGAGTGGATGATCCATCTCCAGAGATGTTAGTCTACAGCCAATGTAGATGATATCAAGAGACAGTTAGAAGCACTGGATACTGCAAACACTATTGGCCCTGACAACATTCAAACAATGTTACTGAATACGTGCTCCAGGACTTGACACATCCTGGCCAAGCTGTTACAACACAGAGACAACACTGATATCTACCTGACTGCCCAGGCACGTCCTGCATATTAAAAGCAGGACAAAATTCAACGCAGCCAATTACCATCTGACTCTTGATCATCAGTAAAATGAGGGAAGGTATAATCTATCGTGCTACCAAGCAGCATTTGCTTAGCAATAACCTGCTCAGTGGCACCCATTTTGGTTTCTGCCAGTGCCACTCAGCTCTTGACCTCAATATAGCCTTGGTTCAAACATGGACAAAAAAGCTGATCTCCAGAAGTGAAATTAACTGCTTTTGATATAAGGCCACAAGTGTGACATTGAGGAGCCCTAGCAAACCTGGAGTCGATAGGAAAACTCTCCAGTGGTTGGAGTCATACCTGCACAAAGGAAGATGGTTGTGGTTATTGAAGTCAGTCATCACAGGATATCTCTGTAGGATATCCTAGGTCCAATTATCTTCAACTGCTTCATCAACAAACATCCTTCCATCATAAGGTCTGAAATGGGCTGTTCACAATGTTGAGCATCGTTTGCAACTCTTCAAATACTTAAGCAAACCATGTTCAAATGCAGCAAGACCCGGACAAAAATCTGGGCTTAGACTGAAAAGTGGCAAGTAAGATTTGTGCCACAAAATGCCAGGCAATCACCATATCCAACAAGAGAAAATCTTAATTATCACCCCTTGACATTCAATGGTGTTACTATCTCTGAATCCCCACCAGCAACATCCTGGAAGTTACCACTGATCAGAAACTCAACTGGACTTGCTACATAAACACAGTGGCTACAAGAACAGGTCACAGTCCAAGAATCCTGCAGTGAATAACTCACCTCATGACACCCTAAATCCCATCCACCATCTTCAAGACACATGTCAGGAATGTGATGGAGTACTCTCCACTTGTCTGGATGAATGCAACTCCAACAACATTCAAAAAAGCTTGACATCATCCAAGACAAAGCAACTCACTTGATTGGCATCACATCCATAAACACCAACACTCAGTAAGAGCAGTATGTATTATTTATAAGATGCACTGCAGGAATTCACCAAGGCTCTTTAGACAGCACATTCCGAACCCACAAACATTTCCATCCAGTAGGACAAGAACAGTAGACACATGGAAACACGATCACCTGCAAGTTCCTCTCCAAGTCACCCACCATATCCTGACACGGAAATATATTGTTCCTTTAGTTCCTTTAATGTTTGCTTGGTTATAATTCTGAAATTCCCTCCCTAATGGTAATGTGAAATCTGCCTGTAGTACATAGATTGCAACAGGTCAAGATGCAGCTCACTACCACATTCCCAAGGGCAACTCTAAATAGGCAATAAATGCCGGCCCAGCCTGTGATACCCATAACTCCTATGAATTAATAAAAGATATTATTTTGTGGACATCAATATTTTACAATGAAGGAGTCTGATGATCAAATAATCAGTTTTTAGCGGTATTGTCTGTGCAAAGAATACTAGCCTAACACTTACACCTTTTAACATAACGTGATGGGAATCTTAGTATTTAGTCTACATGCTTGGTGTTCGACATGATCTATGTTTTGTATTTCATTGAAAGGAAAATACATCCGATGATGCACCACACCCAATGAAGACTATTCTAGATCAGCAGGGCAGAGCAGAACTAATAATCCTGTGGTATAAGTTAATGGTTTTGCACAGGTTAATGCTCATATGACATTGGATTCACTCATTCTACTGATGTCACATTCAGACTGTGGGTAGAAACAAGTTCTTTTCTAGCTTTTGCAGGGATCAGATGAATTTGTGCCAGCTCCCAAATGTCCTAGTCATTATGCATGACCAAACATCAAAACGTTCATCTGTTGATTTTTAGCTCCTACTTGCAGAAGAGAGACGGAGAAGTCAGTCTTGGAAAACAGTGCCAATCTCAAGAATGAGGTATCACAATCCCAACCGTGGGTGAATGTTGATCCCAGAGAGAGGGCTAGATTTAACCATATCCAGATCAGATGGCTGCTTTGCCAATATTTAATTCTGTTCTGTTGCTTACTACCTCACTCTTCCATATAACTCCCATTCTAGCCTCTCCACCTTTTGCACTATTTCAATGAATCCTGATACAAGCCCAAGTAGACCTCAACTACAGCTCAGTACCAATTAGTGATCTGCACTCTTGGTATTAGATCAACTTTTCTTCCCTTATTCTCAACCTGCTGTTCTTTTTATCAGCTTCTCTTGTTTCAATTTTAGATTGCCCTTAACAAGCTCCAAGTAGAGTATTTATTTTGGAGACTTGTTTGAGGCATGCAGACTAAACAATCCAATACGGCATTCACAAGCCCTGCTACGAGTGGGGTAGGTGGTGTTCACTGAGGCAAGTAGATGCAATGCTTGACTTTTCCTATTTTTCTTTCTAGCATCTCAGTTAACCATTTCCTTTTTTTGTTTTAATAATTTTACACATGTGCACATAACTGGCTCCTTCCCACTCCTTTTTGTTCTGTCTGAAACATTATTCGTGTTTAACAACATCTATTTCTGGTTAAGATTCCATTAATTTAAATTAGTCAATCATTAGTTCACAGCTTCTGGGAAGCCAGTTGATTGTGCAATATCATTGAACATACTGAGATCAATGTTTGGATATTTCATATTTTGCACCAGTCAATCATAGAAAACCTGTGTGAATTATGAAGTACATGGAAGGCCTCACTCATCCTCCCTTTTTTTTGCTCTTAAAATAATGGTACAGCAAAAGATGGAGGGGTTTAAGAACAGAGTTGCAGAATGTACGACCGTAACACAAAAGAGATACAAGAGAAGATAGATAGTTTAATGAAATATTGAGGAGATAATAGCTATAAGGAGCTGGCATGAAAGAGAAATTGAGGCCTGAGACAGATCAACCATGATCTTATAGAATGGCAGTGCAGGTTTGAGAGGCTGAATGGCTTACTCCTGCTCCTGCTTATTTTCTCATTGTGGTTTTATTTTTCTGTATTCGAATGAATGTGCAGGAAGGAAGTTCAGTTTTGGGTCAAGCAGCATGCTGAGGATTAGTACCTACTGATCAGATGAGAGATGGCACTCAGGGAAGATATTTTGGGCACAAGCAAAGGAATGGCTTTGTTAACATTAAAAGAAATTATGATTCATTACATATGAGCTAGGAAATTATAAACTGTAGCAACAGATGTGTAGAAATAGAGGAGCAGAAAAACAGAACTAAATGTGTTAGTACACATGTTGAAAATCAAATCAACAGTTTTGAATGAGAGTACTAAATGGTATCATATAAGTAATTAAGAGGAAACTGTTGAGGACACCATAGATAACCAGTAGTCAAAAAAGAGAAGCTTTGGAAAGGTAATTTGAAAGATTTTAATTGGCCTGAATGGGTCTCGCTCACCGGTCAGAGAACTGACAGTGAGCCCGCATCAGATTCATGGTGTAACCCACGATTATCAAGTACCTTCCAGACACGATAGTGGGCACACTCTCTAGCCTTCTGGAGACAGCAAGGACTGCAGCAGCTGGAAGCTAGAGTCAATAAAAGTGGAGCTAGAAAAGCACAGCAGGTCAGAGAGCATCCAAGGTGCAGGAAAGTCAACGTTTCGGGCCAAAATCCTTTGTCCTGACGCAGGGTTTCAGCCCGAAACATTGACTTTCCTGCTCCTTGGATGCTGCCTGACCTGCTGTACTTTTCCAGCTCCACATTTATTGGCTCTCTAGCTTTCCTTCGATTGAGGACCCCAACAGCAGAGGTGGCCAGTTAGAGACCGGCAGATCCTCATGGTCATCATTGCCACTGAAGTGGTGGCAGCTGTTGACAATGTACAATAGATTGACATCAAAGCTAAGTGAGGGCAGGAGGAGGACTCAGCATCGGGGTGTCATGGGAGGTGGCCACCATCAGACAGAGTGCCAGGCAATGAATGCCCCATCACCCAGGAGGCTGCCAGCAATCCAACAGTGTTTGCCAAGCAGCCTTCACAAGGCATAGCAAATCTGTGCAGCTCTCTTGCAATCTCTAAGCAAACATTTAATTGCAGAGGGCTGGGGAATAATGAGTGTCACTGGTTCATTAAAAACTTGAACTTGACTGACATCTAATCACTAGTAGCTGGGAATCCTATGTCAGCTCTCTGCCCTCAGAAGCAATCATGAAGGCTTTTCCACTGCTGTGAGACTTGCATGGGCTATCTCCTGTGTGCCCAGCTGCTATGATTCACCCCATGACAGGGTGGGTTTAGTGTACCGAACCTGAATGAGTCTTGGACAGCTTAGTTGAATACTAAACATAAATTAATTTCCGGTTAATGTGAAGAATATATTTCGCCATTACCTCAGATCTCAACAACTGTTCTGCTTTACTTCTATTTACATTTTTGCAATACCACCTAAATAAAAATGGAGAAGAAGGCAGAAGTTAGACACAATTTCCAGCAAACTAGGTATTCAATATTATTGCTGTGAATGAACAAAATCAAAAACAGAATACATATACGGTTTGCACTCTGTGGTATTGTGTGGTCTGTGCGTGAACTGGCTGATCTGGGTTGCGGAGTACTTTGAGAAATCCATAGAAAGTGAAGGAAGTTAAAAAATTCTAATTATTCTACTACAATAACTGCCTTAAAGTTGACTAATGCTGCAAAGATCTAGCTTCTATTTGAGTCTACTCCATTAGTTAACGGATCAGTAAAAAGCTTCTGTTTCATGTTATTCTATAATAACTGGTAACAAATAACAACATAATCTACTGTGATTTTAATGAGGCTCTAAGTAAATTTTGAACACAAATTTAGAAATATTAAAATTTATTATGTAGCACAATATATTGACTTGTTTAAACATTATTTTGGAAATTGCTAATGTAATAGCTAGTATTTATGGACTGCTCATTTTATTGTATGATAGTAGCTCTCTTACAATCATCTTCCAGGTTTGAATACATGAATAAACCATACTTTTCACCCGATAGCATTTTATGGTTATTAAAAAAAAATGGACTTAATGGAACGTTTAGTGGGAATACACCATAATCTATTTTAAAAGGGAAAAGAAATAAGTAAACACCTCTGTTATGAAGAGGAGAATTCTATTTGCCTCTCTCCCCATCCATAATAAGATAAATTAGTGCCATCAGGTTCTTAACCTTTCTACCAATGGGAACAATTTCTCTCTGTCCACGATGTATAGATCCCACATGATTTTGAGCAGCTCTGTCAAATCTCCTCTCAAATCTCTTGCCTCAACTTTGTTAATCTATCCAACCTAACTGAAGTCTCTCATCTTATAAATCATTTCATACATCTTTTCAGCACGCTCTTCAATACCTTCATATTCCTTCTAAAGTATGGTGCCTAGTATTCTGCACAGGACAGTAACTGGGTTCCAGGCAGAACTAAGAAACATCATTTATGCAAACCAACAAGGAGGCTTTGTTCCATAGCAATGCACGCTGTACACTCAAAACAGTCTGAACAAGCCTATAAACTTGGTTAATGACTCACCAGTACCTCATGTGATTCATTTCTTAAAAGGAACATTATCCCAACATAACATACCCAAACTCTAATGCATAACACCCAGAATTTGATGAAACACTCCAAGTGAGGCCGAACATCACAGAATCTATATTCTTATCACTCACTTTGTCAAACTGCCCAGTTGCCTTTAGTGATCCTCTATAGGATTTTCAGAATGATCCTTGAGGATTTCTGGCAAAACCATTCCTGGATGGGGCAATGAACACACGTGTGCAGAAATGCAGCTTTGCAAAACAATCTCATTTGAAATTAATATCCTTCAGTCTTGCGTGAAACAAAGTTGAAAAGAAACTTAGCATCTCACATTTGGTGCTAATAAAATTCATTTTCCATTTAAATATCCATTGGACAAGTTTATTAATTATTATATTCAGACATCCTGTCCAATTCATCCTCTACATTAACTGTATTTTCAATCTGAGACTGCAAATCTGCTACTTGAAGAACATCAGTCCACACAATCCAATAATCTGAGTAAAAAAACTTTGAATGCTATTCTTGGTTTTCTGTTTGGTACCCAGTTCACTGTCCATTATTTGTTGTATTCTCAGGAGTTAGCTGTAGTTTTCCAGCTGCTTACAGGGTCTGTTTCCCAAATTCAGTTACTGAAAATAATTTAACATTATGCTGGTGGGTTATCACTAGTGCATCTGTGCCTGCACAAATGAGTCATACTGGCCAATTCTGATCGTAACACACTCTGTTGATACAATTTCTGGGATGCATGAGAAAGAAAATGACATCAAAATAATGTTTTTTATGACTTCAAGATTATTCTGAAATGCTTTAAGACAGTGAAGTACTTTTGAAATGTAGCCACTGTTGTACTGTAGCAGACAACTTTCTTACACCAAAGTCCTACTCACAGCAATGGTCAAGTGATAAATGTTATGCAGGACATTGAAAAGATAGACCTACTCCACTCCAAAAAGTGCCAAGGGATGTTTTGCATTCAGCTGAGGGCAAGACAGGCTTCAGTTTTAATATTGCATTGAAAAGACTGCTTCCCTGACAGGGCAGCACACCCTCAGTATTAAGCAGAAATGCCAATCTACATTATGTAATCAACTCTTTAGGGTAGAACTTGAAGGCAAGCCTCATGAATTCAAAATCATATTCTTTGATTAACTAACAACACAATGGAACAATTAAAACATACATAGTAAAATTTATTATCCAGAACCTAAGGGACCAGAAGTGTGCCAATTGATCAAATATTCCACATAATCAACAGGTCCACATAATCTCTGAAAAAACACATACTAAGTAATAGAAATATAATGCAGGGGATACACATATCACTGTTATACTTTATTTGCAGCTTAAATTACTCAAACAATAATGTAACATTGCCTCAGATAAAGCTTATCGACAGAGAGCCTTCTCACTCACACCCTCAACTGACTACTTGGACATCATGGTAGATCGCAGTATTTGAGGAAAAATTGACTTGAAATTGAATCAACTGTTGATACTTTGTGTGGCCATTTGATTGAACAAGTATACTTACATTAGATAAATAAATTAAAAATATAAGAATTGGACAGAATAATACAGTAAACCTCGCAGTATGAGGTATATAATTTTTGTCAGTTTATCAAGACTGCCAATTCATAAGTTGCAGGTTAAAACAAAGATTATTGTAATTATAATTTGGAAGACAAGTTTAACTTACTCATATTTTTCTAAATTGTTGGATTTCTTCTCTGTTACATAATTGCTTGGTATGTAGCCCTCATGTCTGGAAAATAAAATATATTCACAATTTGTGCATCAAGAGTATTATTAACATTTGCTCGCATTTTAGGTTTTTCTACTTGAACACTCTGCAGAGTGCAAATATAGTCAGCCAGGCCAAAGTTATACTGCACCCATACTTGAACACTTAACATGAAAAGCTAGTGCGTGATGGCAAGAGAATGTGAATGGCAGCATCCACTTTCTTATATCATTGAAAGAGATTTACACAAATTTTTATGTGCCCAATAGATTCAAAGAACTGTACAAATAAAGAAAGATGACATTTTAGTGTGAACAATGAATCATTGTTCTAGATAGACAAGCAGCTCTAATTCCCCAAGAATAACTTTGGTTTGGTAAATTTGTCAGATAATATCCTAATTTCCACCTGTAACTTCACGAGGGCAGCAATGGAAACCTCAGGGAAGCAATCTGAATAGTAACTTCCAGCTGTTTAACTATTTCAATATGATTTGACTCCCATGAGAAAAGGACAAATAAGGAATAATCAGTAAATATAATATATTTGGATTTCCAAAAGGCATTCAATAAGGTACTGCATGTAAGGCTATTTAATAACAGGCCACAGTGTCAGGGGTAATATATTAGCATGGATAATGGATTGGCTAACCAATAGAAGATGGTTGGGAAAAAGACGGCATTTTAACAATGGCACTCTCTAAATGGTAGAGTGCAACAAGGATTAGTGCTGGGCCTCAACTATACATGTTAACAACTTGATTGACAGGAGTGAATGCACTCTTGCCACGCTTGCATACGAATAAATGGCATGTCAAACGACAAGGTTGGCATTATGCCCATACAGGAATGTAGACAGACTAAGTAAATAGGCAAAACTTTGACAGATGTAATATAATGCAGGGGAAAATGGGAGGTTATTCACTTTGGTAAGAAGAATAGAAGTGCTAAATACTATTTAAATGGGGATAAACTGCAGAAAGCTTCAGCATAGAGGGACTTGGGGGTCCTTATACATTAATTTAACATCTAAGTTCAGCAGGTAATAGAGAAGACAAATGGACTGTTGACTTTATTTCAAAAGAAATTGAATATAAAAATGGGAAGGTCTTGTTAGAACTACACAAGGCAGAAGTCAGACCATTACTGTAAAATTGTGAATAATTTTGCTCCATTTATCTGAAGATATATTAGTTTTGGAGGCAGTTCAGTGAAGGCTCATTAGGTTGATTATTGTTTATGGAGCAAATTTTTTGCGGAGTTGAGTGGAATGGGCTTGTACTGATTGGAGTTTAGAAAAATGACAGGCAACCTTACTGAAAATTCTTAGGGGACTTGACACGTTAGTTGCTGAGTTTGTGTTTTTCCCCTAAGGGAAAGTCTAGGACTGGACCCTAGAAGCTCACAAAAAGGAGCTGCCCAGTTGAGACAGAGATAAGGAAGAATTTCTTTTCTCAGAAGGCAATGAATCCATAGTTTTTTAGCTGTTAATTATAGTCAAGGCTGAGATTTAGGGAGATTTTTAATTAGTAAGGGAATCAAGAATTATGAGGGGACAAAAGTAAATTGGAGTTGAGGATTATCATATCAAACTTGGTGGGCTGAGTAGCTGACTTTTGCTCCAATATTTTATGTTAGAGATAAGAGAGATACTGCAGCAGTCTAAACTGTTAATGACAATTTTTAAATTTTGAAGTAAAAGACGATTCCTCTCATGGGTTCTCTTGTATTCCATCAAATTTACGATCATTTCAATAAATTCTATCATGACAATCTAAATAATGAGATACTTAATCAAATGTTCAAATTGCTGACTATGCTACTTCTGTCTTTGCACATGAAGCAACCATGGGAATGTTTACTATAGTAGCTCCAAACAAAAGTAGTAAAAATAGAAACTGGAAAACTAGAGTAAAGAGTAAAAAAAAATCTTTACAAGAAATAGCAGGCTTTGCCTTTGGTGTAGAACAGAAAATACTGGAGATGCTCAGTAGTTGCAGGAATATTCACAAAGTGCTTTGGGCCTGGAAGGAGTGCGTAAACAATTGAGCTAAACAAAAGGAGGAGGAAAAGGATAGAGTAAGAAGTAGTCATAAATCATATTCACAAATGAAATAATCAGCATAAAAATTAATGACATGTTCTGTCCACATACGTGATCCTGAAAGTTTTGTTGCTCATCACTGGCTTCCTGTCCAGAAACTCCACAATTAGAATCTTAAGTTGTTTCAAACAAACTAAACGGTATTAATGTTTTCTATTGGACACTCTGCAATGTTTTAGATAATTTACAAAACGTATTGTTAAAGCTGCTTCTCCCATTTGTTTGGATGCAAGATCTTCTGGGATTCATATCAGTCAAATAGTCTTTGGAAACAATAAAAGCAATGAGAATATAAAAAGGTAGGAGCAGCAGTAACTCACTTGACCCCTCATAGCTGCTCCACCATTCAGTAATGGGTGATCTGATTGTGTCTTGAGCTCCATTTTCTTGCTTGCCCCCATCACCTTTTAGATCAAAATTCTTCCTAATACATCAACTGAATATATTCAATGAATATATTCCATTGCTGTCTGCCCAAGAATTTCAAAGATTAACAACCCCCTGAAGAACGAAATTCCTCCGTATCTGCATTTTAAATAGGAAACCTATTATATTAAAACTGTGCCCTCTAGCGTTGGATTCCTCAGCAGGGGGAACACTCTTAGATAACAAGGTGTAGAGCTGGATGAACACAGCAGGCCAAGCAGCAT